GAGAAGCCATATTGTTTGAAAAGGTTAGCTTTTTACTTCTTTGCAGATTTATGCCCTGTGGCTTCTATGCCCAGCACTTGTCTCGAGGTATCTTTACCACCTGGAGGAATTATGATACTCGGTAAATTCGATATGAGGCACGAATTCTATTTAAGGTTTGTAATTAGGAAGGAAGAAGAAAAGCTATAGATGTAGCATATGAAGGAAACNAATCACATCTGCAAAGTTTCCTTTGCCGTATAAGGGAAAATTCACAATTTCTGGGTCTATCTTTGGGGGTCATTATTCAGCCTGGAAGAATTCTATAAAATATAACCAAGGTATCCAATGATTTTTGATCATGCATAACTCCAGGATGCCAGAAATGGCACTGATGTCAAATTAGTTATTTAGCTTTCCAAATGCAGAGACTAAGGTCAAAGGCAAACTGCAGATTTTGGCCAAATACTGAGCATGAGGCACAATTTCTTAGCATCCCTACACACAACACACAGGTTTATAATATGCTTTTTTATTAAATTACAATATATTGCAAAACTTTACCAGGTCCTTCCTTAAGTATTTGTTTGTTAGCTTTTTTATATTATTTATTTATTGTGAAGCCATGATTTAACCATTTGGTATTTTTTCTATTTGTATATAATATTACATTAAAGATACTTCTTCATATTTGATTGTCTCCTTAAAATACATGTCTAGAAGTAGAATAACCAGATCAAGGGTTTGAACATTTTTAATCTTTTGATACAATTTACAAATATTATTAGGTTTTATAAACACTGTGGGGAAAGGGCCATTTCTCTGCACTTTTGCATGTTCTGTGATGGGGGTGAACAAGTGCCCCTCTGCTCATAAAAATGCTAACTCATTGCTTCATATTTTCACTTTTGATTTATGTTTATTGGCATATAAATGGGTGGGGAGTACTCTTGAGTAACTTTCTTTACCTACAAACACAATTTAACTTGCTTGCCAGATTAACTTGCCCTTCTGAATTTCCTTTGTAAAAATATTCTGACTGTATGATTTGCTTACATCAAGTTCAAAATTTGGGAAAAAATGTGGCAAAAAAATGTGAAAGTTAATTTAGGGTGAGGTAGAAGGGGTGTGAGAAGGGGAGGATGTACAACGTGGGCTATAGGTGTTGATTTCTTGTATTCCTTGACCCAAGTGGTGGTTATTCTGTTTTGTACACTTTATGACTATTTATGAAGATGTACACTTATGATTTTTGCAGTTTTCTATATGTGCTATGTTTGACTTTAAAATGTTTTTTAAAAATTAGTAAATATAAAGCAAAAAACAGTACTGACACTCATGTCACAGGCATTCAAGCTGGAGCACAATTTCCTCTGCTTATATGGGTCAGATCTCTGCTTTAAAGCCAGATCAGTCATGTGAACTCAATATTTCAATAACCTGATTGAATTAAATGTTATTTAAATAATGAATTTATCAGGCAGAAAAGGAAAGTTATTTCTATGAAAACTAAACTGAATATTATGAATAGATTGCAAAATTATATCTTGTCAAGTGGCTGAACACTTACATAATCTGCACATAGGACAATTGTAAAAAGATATGGGAAAATCATAAAAATCTCAAAGTAGTCTACATTCAGAGTACCACAAAGATGCCTTCAGTGTCTTTAATTTCTCTCTCCGCTTTGAGGAAATAAACACTATTTATGCAAGGTTATTTTTTAAACTCCAGCAGACCCACTTCTGAGAAATGTCTTTGGCCCGTAGACTTTAGCAAAAACCCATCTGAACTAAAATAATTATCTTAGGAGGCTTGAATCTAAAATTTCTTTTGGCAACCTTACTAATTCATTAGTGCCTGGACTGTATCAGATAAGAGGGTCATCTGCCACGTCAGTAGTAACAGAAGACAAAGAGAAAACAATGACAGGATGTGTGAGGAGCAGGAGAAATCAGAGGCGAGGGAATTCTGCACCCTCAAAATTGGAGAAGAATGGCAGATAAACAGAAATAGCCCACAAATACCTATGTTCACATACGCAAATACTGCTTTCCACCTCCACGTTCACTGCCACCTTAACAACCAAGCACACATTCTCTCACCACAGTCAAGACCCACTGTTGCCAAATTATGAAAACTGAAATAAACATAAGGTCAATGTGATGTCTGTTAAAAATCGCAGGGATCAAAAGCGAAGGAATATACCCACCATGAGGCAACGCTGGCCACCCTGCCCTACCACCCTGCAGGCAGCATCGAAAAGCTGGGGAGGACGGAAGTCACCAAACAAAAGTTTAGCTCCAACCAATTGATTCTGAATTTTGAAATCAGAAAATGTAAAAAAAGCTATATTTATGTCAGCATCCAGTTATGTTTGTTAACAAATATGAACAGTTTTTATTTCGGTTACTCCTATGGGTAACAGAAGGTTAGCTTCCGTTATCTTATCAGGGACCGAGGCTTGAGTTTTGGAGAGCTTCCTTGTGAAATGAGTCGAGTTTCAGCAATGGTTGAAGTCACCGTCTATATGCTTCCTGGCATAATGACAGCTTTCACAAAGGGCGGGAAGAAGTCAGATTCAAGAGAAGAAGAAATTATGCACCTCTCTTCCCCCCAGCCGCCTGCCCCATTGTATGTATGTGTGTGCATGTGTGTACATAATTTAGTTGGTCCCTAAGAAGGAAAGTTGGATAAAACATCCTACTCCGAAATTCAAGTTCCAGCCCCTTTGCTGCAGAATCCTGACATGATAAAAATATACAGCCCTGGGTCCAGTCTTGCAGTGGGCTTTCTTGGCCCCTGTGCTCTCACCAAAGCCATTTCTCCCTGTGGTCTGGGAAAGCCTGTGCCCAGGAGACCATTCCCAGGAATATACTCTCCTGCAAGACACACTCTAGGACAGGATGACGCTCACCTCAAAAATAAGACATCTTGGGCACTGTGCTTTCTGGGCAGAATAGATCTGCCCTTCAAATAAGATAAATGTGAGAGAGTTCCTGAACTTCTAATCACAATGCTTTGCTCATAAAAGATACTTGGTAAATATTTGTTGCAATTAAGTGGGCAGGTGTGGTAACCTTTCTCCAAAGCTGCTCCTTTTACTTATGTTCAGTAATATCTGGTGTAAGGAACCCGTTCTTAGGTAATTATTCAATAAAATATGATCAAGGATGAGCATACAAGTAGTGAGGTAACATACGGAGTGTGTTATGAAGCTTTGAGCATTCACTGCCTGGACATCAGGTAAACCAGTGTTCAAATCCACAAAACAACTATGAAGCCGGGAGCAGGAGAGAGTAGGAAACACAGCTGTCTGGGCACGGCCGGAGCCCCATGCTGCATGTTATGTAACAGCTGTTGTGTAATTGTGCATCTAACTCAAAACACATTTTTAAAAGAGGAAAACAATTAGATTTTCCAAAAGGAAAGAAATTGAGAGTGAAGAAAGAAGGAGGGAGAGAGAAAGAGAGGGACAAAAATGAAAAAGAAGTTTCTATCAGGTCTTCAAGCAGGAGGCATAAAGGAGACGAGGGCCTGGGGGATAGTTATCTTAGAATCGAGGAGGCTGCCCCATGAGCCAGAACTGGCCTGCCTCCTGTTTTCATAAATACAATTTTTTTGAAAAACACATTCGTTAATATATCTATTGTCTATAGTTTCTTTCGTGCAAAGTTGAGTAATTTACAGTAGAAAGCATCTGGCCCAGAAAGCAGGTCCCCTTAAGAAAAAAAGTTTACCAACCCATGTCTTTGGTGAATAAAAGGCTAATAACTTTAAGTGTCTGTAAGGATGACTGTTCATTCAGAGAACCCATCTGGAAAATGAAATTCTGGTCCTGTGTTTATTAGACCTGTGATCATAAATAAGCTACTTACTCTTATGTCTGTGAAATGGGGAGCCAAGCAAGGTGGAAAGAGAAAGTTAAGCCCTGCAGCCAATCTGGAGTAACTATTTAGTAAGCCCTTGTTTCCCTACCTACACCCCTTATTTGGGGGAGATGACAATTTTCACTAGAAAAAAATTGTTGTTCTTGATTCTTACTAACCAGAGTTAGAAGCATCCAAGTTTTCTATTTTGTTCCTGCTGTAACTTTTCCCAGACCTTCACACAATAAACTTTTGTACTTCCAATGGGAGTGGTACAGTTAAAAATTGTCCTTTTGGAAAGTTCCATGCTTGAAACATTAATTTAATTTTAAGAACTTGAATCGTTGGGAGTCCTGCTTAAATCTGCTTTTTGTACATAGCCTCTATCAACGATCTGTCAATATAGCCAACTTCCCAAACTAGAGGTTACTTTCATTTTAAATGAGTTTTAACAGGTAATATTGCCATATAGCTAGTGTGGTGACTGCGTGACAGTGTACTCTGAGTTCCCCAAAAATCCTGCTGACTGTTCTGTTCTTAGATTCAAAATAAAGATAACTTAGAGCTTCTGAAATCACAGCAGGTCTACTTATGCAGCACTGAAAATATCCTTGATTGGTATAATCTTTTACAACTGGCTTGGAGTAGGGTCTATCTAGAAGGTCTTTCTTCCCCTAACAGCACCCTGCTTTGCTGCGACACGGGCTGAGTCGCTGAGGACAATGTCCTGAAGACAACCTGGCCAAGGGTCCTCTCCTCACCAGCTTCTCCTGGGAACAAGTGCCCTTTGAGACTCTTTCAATCCTCACTTTCTCTGATTTGAAGTCTGCCAGAGAACGGAAAGTTTCACAATAACATGGAAAGCATGAAAAGCCAAAAAAAATAATAACTGGCCTTAGTGGCCGGAGCAGCTGCGCTGTGTATCCTTATCACCGTTTCAGCTCTGTAAATTAATTCATCGGCAAATAGTGCCCTGTCTCCAGATGCAGTTCAGTGCTCCAGCACTGGTTTCTTAAGGATTTAAGGGTAAAGTCAAGGGCTTCCTGCCCTAGGTGTTACAAGTAAGTCGTGTCGTGTTCTTTTTGCTCTGAGTTTGCTCATCCAATCATATCCCGGTATGCAAATAAACCTTAGCCACTGCAGATAAATAGGCACAAATAAAGCCAAGTGCTCCGTCAGAACCAAATCGCTGAGCCTGTCACCTGTGTTCTGGAAGCCGAAGCAGAAATGTCGTCCTCAGCCATGCCAGACTTACCTGTCCCACTCACCAATTTGAAATTTCAATATACTAAGGTTAGTACAATTTATATTTGCTACTTTGCCTCAGGTTTATAAAAAGTACATGTGTTTAAAGCATAGAAGGTCAATTTAAGCAAACTATGTAAAGAGCCCTTTGCAAATACAAAAATAAAAGCCTTGCAAAATGCACTTCTGGGTTTAGAGTCTTGATCAAATAATGAATTCTAAATCATATCAGGGAACTTGTCATAAATTTATGTCTTAAAATATCTCTAAAGGAAAAGAATTCTCTTCTATTGTGAAAGGTTCTTGTGCCAGGATTCAGTGGACTTTTCTAAGCAGTTCATTAACTTAAGCACTGCCCAGCATGTATAAGAAGACAGGCAAATACTTACTAGAGAAAACTTACTGGAAAGAGCCAAACAAACCGGAAAAGATTTTAAATACAGATAAACAGAGCATGCCAAAGTAACATTTTTCTTCGTGTTTAATGAATATCAAAATGGAAAGACCTAAGTCTGAATAACTGGATGACGGCTCCCATTTCAAAAACTTGAAATGGACTTGCATTATTTAGCATATTTTGGGAGAGAAAGCATTCTCATTTATTTCTTCAGCCTAGTTTGCTGCCACTGGAGCTGAAGTATGATTGTTAACTGATAAATATTTAGGGAAACAAAAGCAGGAGCCAGACCCAGACTTAAAAATCCACAGCCAGTGAGAAGGAGGAAATGGATCCTGTTTGAGTCATTCAAAAGTATCTCAGGACTTTGCCTGTTTCACGCTGTTCTGCGCCTGCTTTCGTGTCAGAGCCTAGAACTCCCCCCGCCACACACACAAAAAACAAACAAAACTTGTCTAACCAAAATCGCTCAAAGTTAGCTTTCTGGTGTGCTGTGCAAAGTAAGGGAAGAATGGAATTTATTCCAACTCAGGGAGAGCCATTTTGCTTTCTGAATTAGCAAGTGGAAAATCAAGAGCATTATCATTTAATGAGAAAGGAAAAACCTTGCTATTATTTATTTTCTGACTTGTAGCCATGGATAGTTTTCCTAAGGTCAGTTAATTTTCATTTTCATGAGCACAACAAATGAGAAAGTTGCTCAGCTGGCTGGCTCTTTTCCATAGGCAAGAGTCTGCAGAGATCAGACTGTGCCATAAGCATGGTTGACCAGCAGCTATGTGTAGTAAGGTATTGTTTTCACAAGGTTTTATTAATTAAAAGACAAACTGCTTTTTTCCATTCAATTTTATTCCAAATGGGAACTTGAGAGATACTTTGAGAATCCATCCCCTCCAACAATTTACATTTGGCAAAGGTACCTCCAAAAGATGACAAGACTCCAAGCTTCCCAATTTTCTTACTCCCACTTGGTCATTTGCAAGAAATATAATCCAAAACAGGCACACCTTAAAATGCATGGCATAAAGATCAAAATTATTGACAGTGATTGAATGATCCCATTACTGTTATTACAAAGAGGCTTTTTTTTTTTTCTGTGATCCTCCCTGGGAAGATACTTTGGTGGTCTAAATGGTATATTTTTTTAAATTTGGCTTTGCAGAAGTTTTCAGTCTTCCTTGTATGTGCATCTCAAGGAAGCTCTAATGTGAAATATGAAATACTCTTTAGTAGTTATGAATTAAGCAGTGGTAGACAGATGAGATGGTCCTTAACATCTAACATACAAACATAGATCTAGTGATCCTTTAACAAAGAGGGATGTTTTTAAGATTGAAATCGCCCATTGATATCAAGATCATTAGACAGGAACACCCATCTAGGGAAAATGACTGACCTTGAGTGTTCAAAAGAAGGCAAGACTCAAAAAGCCAGAATTTGCTCTTGCTTGTAAGAACTTTTCTGGGTAAAAAAACCCAATGCAACTCAGTGAATTTTGATTGCTCATACATCTTCTCTGTAAATCTGTTCTGTTCAGATAGCATTTTACTGTCTGATTTACTTGTTACAGCATTTTCACACTTGGGAGGACACCAGTTATGTATGTAATTAAATCTAAATGGGTGAGCTTTTTCAGATGCCTTGCACTTCCTGTTTACTGTATGCCCCCTGAAGAATTGTATCAGATTTGTACGTTGGAAAAATGATGGTTATTCACTAAGTTTCCAAGGTGCAAACCAAATAAGCAAGACTTTTATAGTATCCAAGGAATTACCTCCTCTGGCCAGCCTCTAAACTCTGCATTATTTTTCTCTACTATGTTAATGCCCTTCCTTATTATCACTAGAATTATGTTGGTCATTGGGTCAAGCTGGAGGGGAGAGACACACAGGGCTGAGTAACAAAAATTCTTACAACTATGGCAGAACTACACATTCTCAAACTTGAGTTGGCTTTTCATCCAAACAAAAAACGTCATTGTTACCTATCTTTTATAACTTACGCTCTTATAGTCAGATTTTTTTCTGAGGGAGGGAAGGGGATTGGATAAAACAGATCAGAGGTAAGAAATACTTTCTAAAATGACATACAAGTTTTTAGAATTTAAAACCTCAATAACATTTATAAATCCACATAAACTCAGATCCTGTCTCTTCTCTCATTTTTCCACTTTCTAATTCTAAATGATTCCTACATCTGCCAACTCATCCATTTTATTGAGCCTTTAGATGAAGAGTTTCTTTGAAAGTTATGTGATTCTTGAACAAACTGCATTCTCTCTCTTTGCCTTGGTTTCCATATGTGTAAAATGGGAATAATAAAGGTACCAATTTCCTAAGGTGGATGAAAGCGTTAAATGAGCTTAATGTACGTCAAGTACTTGAAATTGTGTTTGGTACAGGGGAAGTGATTGATTGCCTTTTACTATCTTAGTCCTATTTATTTTTCTGAATTCTTTCCAATTTTTCAGAAGCTTCTTATACTTAGCCTTTCCTAGACCTGTTTCCCCACAGAGTTTCTCTCATCCCATTCTTTTCTCCTATATTTCCTACCACCCTTTTTTGCATAGTCATGCCCTACCTGACAAGGATCTAATTGGAGCAAAGGTCTGAGGGATTAGCTAGGATTTCAGGGATCCAGAATTTTCTCTTAGAGGCTTTGGTGCCTTGATTTTGCATTCTCCCTTCATGACATTGTTTTTACCTTTAAAAAAAAAATGATGACAAGAAGAAAAGCTTTCTCAGGCAGGATTCAAACCCCAAAATGTTTCACTTAACTCCTAAACATAATTCATTGAACAGTAGTTTGTTCTTGCTAGAAAAGATCTTTATTATCTCATAACATTGCACACACAGGCATACACAGGAAATAATTATAGCTAAAATTCAATAGTTTACCCTGTGTCAATGACTGTTAAAGGCTTTGTAATGATTTATTTACTTCTCCCTGGATTATTATATATATATATAATACTTAATAGTCCAGGGAGGAGGTTAACTGTTCCTGTTTTGTACATGAGGAGACTGGGTGACTGAGCAACTTCCCTCAAATTTTATAACCAGTAAGTGACAAAGCTAATCTTCAAATGCTGGCAGTCTGAGCCCTCCCACCACAGGTGACTTGTCTAAGATCAGTGTCACTGCTTGGGGACATGGAGTGGCTGGAAGCCTGTTCTGTCCTTCTTTATTCTGGCTTTCATTTGTCCATTCCTGATGGCTGGAAGGGACATGACTGTAGCACTGCTCATCTGTGTCCAGGCCAACAGGAGGAAGTTTGCCACCAGCTTAGAAAATGAGGAGAACAATAAGGAAAGTTGGAAATGAACAGACTTTCTGCTTTCATTGGAAAGGCAGGGGTGGAGGTGAGAAAGGCTGTGATGCAGAAGATTTTGACATAGGTGTGCAATTCCTATGCGAGCGACATTTCTTTAACTCTTATGGAATAAATTTTGGTTGGAGTAAGAGATTACTTTCCAAGATTTCTGGTGTTATTGTTTAACCCATCTGGGTTAAAGATATATTTCTGATCAAGAAGAGTTATGAATCACTGAATGCTATGTGCCAAGCATCATTATCTCCTCTTAAATCGTTACAACAAACAACGTTAGACCACATGCAATTCCAAATACCCATCGTCTTCACTATTTCCCCCATTTTCCCTTCCCTTTATTTAACAAGTCATTGAGTGACTGCCCTGTGCTAGCCCTTATGATGTAAGAAGGTTAATGTGAGTCTTGCCTCACAGACCTTATATACCTGGAGGGTGCATGGGGAAGAAAACAACCAAGTAAGTGAGTAATCACGAATTATGATAAATGCTAAAAAGAGGATAACTGAAAGCAAAGAGATTGTGAGGGGAAGAGCTTACTTTGATGAGGTTTTAGGGAAGGTCTCTTTATGGAAGGAACATTGGCCAGCCTGAGGGATGCAGAGCATTACATGGCCGAGGAGAGCAGGAAAGAACTAAGATCCTGAGATCAGCACGTGCAAAAACCTCTACAGACAAGAGCTTGATATGTTCAGAGAACCTATCAAAAGTCTAATGTGGCCGGAGTAAAGTGAGAAAGAGAGAGAATAGATGTCATGACTGGAGCCCAAAGCTGTGGCCTGGTTGCCTGATGGATTTTGTTGGAGGGAAACCCCTGAGTGTGCTTCAAAGGGGACAGGTCTTTTGTTCAAGTCAAAGCTGATTGTGCTAAGGCACTTCTTCCATTCAGGAAATCTTTTAACTCCCTCCTGACTGAAGCAATATGTTGTGTGCTTTGGGTTCAAAAGCAGTTGAACAAGTAGCTGGATGACTGCAAGGGGCAGTGGTTTAACAAGATAAATCTAGCTCTAGCTCTTCTACTTATTTACTGATAGGACCTTGGCCAAGCTTCTAATCTCCTTGCCTTTCAGTTCCCCTGTCTGTAAATTGGGAGGGATACTACCTACCTTGGAAAGTGGCTGTGAGAATTAAGGGAAGTACTTTGTGGAAAACACCTGGCACTGATTAACTACTTAATCCAGACTTTCGCAAGATGGCTCCCTGAATTCTGAAATTATTCCATTCCCCATGTAAGTGCATCTAATACTTGCATCACTTGTCACAGTTGAAAGCTGCTTTCATGCATTGATCTCATTTGAGGCTCATAATTAACCACTGGGAAGAA